CAGTATCCAGATTTCAACAACTACCTGATTTTCGTTCTTACAAAGTTGAAGTCTGAAGGTAAGTTCTTGAGATACAGTAATCGTTCTATTTTATTTTTTTTGGCCTTTAAAAGAAAAGTATTATTTAGCTTCAAAGAAATAGAAAGCTGACTGTAGTCAGTTTGCTGGCTGGTTGAGCTGTCCATAGTCATGTAAAATTCACTTATGCACTCAGTGGTCTTTGTGGGGAAAAAAATCTGATAACTTATTCATATTTGTAGTATCAATCTTAGAATGGAAACCCTTCTAAATGGCCATTGAAATCTTCTGAGAAATGTTAGCACATCATGCCTCTATTGGACTGCAGTAAAGTTGTGGAATAACTGTGAGGAATCATGACTATATACATTATAAAACATACTGCTAATTTCAATTATGATAATTATCTTCATAGTAATGAGACTGCTAAATACTTTGAATACTATGTATTTAGAGTTGTCCAAAGATGTCTGTCATAATCTTCATTCTGAAAATTTAATTGTAGTAAAATACAGTTAGAAATCAATCATGTTGTTTAATTGCTAACAGACTATATATGGCATTGTGTATAGCGTCTACCAGTTGGTAAATTCAGCCAATTCCTTTGTGATCAGGGTGTGTGAAAGATTTTCTTTTCAGTATACTATAGGCATTGTTTTGAGATGTCATTGGTAGAGAAAGAAAATTTGTTTCAAGGTCTGCTTTAGCACATCTGTTTCTTTACATTTGTTTGTAATCGTGTTTGGTTGTTCGGGTCATTTTCTAGGTTTTTTTTCTTTAATGTTCTGCTACTAGTGCTTTTTCTGCCGTTTGGTGTTTCATGTCCTTGTGAATGCTTGCTTTTTCCTTTTGAATTAGATTTTAATTATGTGTGGTCCTGTAACATTCAAAGAATTGTCAAGAATGTTTGTCTACATTTTAAGTACTGTTTTGGTTTTATCAGCTTATTTTAGGAGGAGGGAAACAGAGAGGAGTATGAACTTATGTTTTCCTGTTTGAAGGCTAGAGTATATATCTAAGTGCTTCTGTGTGTTCTCAGTAGGAAGTCACCTAATAATCTGTAAAGTCCTGGGGGGAGTACCTTAAATGTTGAGAGCATTTTCAAGACTTGAGTCAGCCAGGATACTGAATTTTTGGATAAGGTGCCAATGTAGATATCATATCCTTTATACCATTACCAGAAAAATTCAAAGCAATTCCAGTAGTGGGATATGGAATTTGTACAAAGGATGTGACAAGAAGGATGTTTCACTTATTTTTTTTTCTGTCCATGAATTTTCTGACACTAACACATCTTCCTAATTTCACTTTCTTCATTCACCATTTGAGCATGAGGTTCTAGATTGTCAAAGATGTTTGGCATTTAGTGGTGTGTTAAGATCTATCTTCCTAACAGAATTCTTTCAATTCAGTAGTCATCTTTTCCCTTCCTTATGTTTAATCACATCAACCTCTATAATTGGAAGAAGGTTAGGAGATGCTAGCTGTTATAAAATGGTTTTGTATAGCTTTTTTATGTGAGGGGGAAAAGGTGTGTTCTGGCAGACTGAGGAGCCAAGCAGGTTGGGAAGAAGTAGTACGCTAACTTCCAGGGAGAGGTGTTTTGGATTAGATTGCATTGATACCTCTCACAAATACATCAGGTCTTTTGTGAGACTGTTGGAAAGCATCTCTTACTTTGGTGATCTCTTGTTCTGAATCACGACATTTTTAGGGTCATAACCTTTTGTCCAAAGCACCTATTTTTTAACTTTGTATTTCTATTTCTGGAAATGTGCAAAATATCGAAGATACCATAACCAAGTCTTGTCTTGGTATTTTTCATAATGTTTGCCGAATTCTAAATTCTAAACATTCAAATTCTGTTGCCTTGCTTTGGTAGGACTCATGAAGAATGGCAGAAGACTGTTGATTTGGTTTCCTTTGAATCCAACCAACAGCCCTTCACCTTCCCTCCTGCTCAAGTATAGTAATGAGAATGTTAGAACTGCTGGTGAACAGCTACAATACTTGGGTGGACTCATCCCAGTAGATACCTGTCTTCACTAGGACTCAGAAAGCATTCTGGTTTTTGTGCCTCCTGAAGTGGGTTCTGTTGGCTGTCTGTCTTTATGGCCTTGCCACAGACCAAAGCATAGATATTCATTCTATTACAATTCATGTTTTTATTGTGTCCATACTATTCCAGCAGAAGGAGCAATGAAAATAGTCTTACAACATCTCTGACAGCTTATTCAATAAAAATTAAGTTGTTTTCATAGTCTGGGAGAAAAAGATCTCTGCTTGGTAGCAGATGGAACTGAACTGTGATTCAGTTTTTGCTACTGTTGAAACTTCTGCTGAGAAAATGGTGCTTAAGGATACATTTAGGTGACAGCTCCTGAATGTGGGAATTCTGTCATTTTGTTGGTTGAAATGTGTGTTAATGTGTGAATGTGTGTCTACTGCAGCGAAGATTGCACCAGCTTACCTTTGACCTGAGTCTTACACCTCTGTGGACAATTAACTTTGCAAGAAAACTTCTTTTGCAACCACAATCTTTCATTTACAAAACTGGATTTTACTGAACCCTGCCTTTAAGATACTTAAGTAAACCTTATGTGTAGGAAATTTGCTTCGTTTTAGCACCATTATTATTCAGTTGAACAAACTATTACTTTTCCTCTAATCTTAGTTCTGTCAGGCTTCTGTTTGTGACTACCTGTGACTTACTGGTTTAAGACCTATTGTGACAAGCCTAGATGTAAGTAGGGGTTTTCTTGGTTTTTAAATCTTTCTGGTCCCTGTCAAAGCTTGTTAAGCTTGTGTCTTTCTGGAAGCAGGAATGCCCTGCTGCCTTTTCATCAATGAAAATATATGGCCTACTTAACTGCTACAGCATGTATATGCCCAAGGTTTAAGTACTTAATTTCTTTCTTGGATTTTTGGGTTTGGTTTTTTTTAGGTTTGGTTGTTGGTTTTTTTTCTTGTTTACTTTGTTTTTGTTTGTGGGGTTTTTGTTGGGGTTTTTGGTTTTTTATTTGTTGAGCATTTGTTTGTTTTGTTTATTTTAAAATCAATGTGCATTTGTAAAGATAGAGTTGGGAATCTGGATGAAACACAGATGTTAAAAAAATATCCCATGTTAAAATACCCCCATGTTAAAAATATCACAATATAAAACTTGTTAAGGAAACAGCATTCAGTTAGACAGTAGGCAGGCTGATGAAATAAAGTGAGATCCTAAGCTGTTAAAGTTTAAGATATAGATCTCTAGCATGTACTTCCCATGAAATATGGTGCTTAGATATCTTCCTTAGGTAGGTAAGATGGAGTCCAGACTAACTGAAAAGTAGTCTGAATGAAAAAAGAGTTGTTTTACTAATTTATCTGTAAATAAAAATATTACTTGTAGGCACTGTTAGTGTAGTTGGTCCTTCTTGGATTGGAAGGTAAACGTCACAGATGATGTAGTCACACTGCTCTGTCCTTAGTATTGGGTTTGTGGTTTTGTTTTTCCAGCGTTCCCTGAGGTGAGCTCAGAATCCTGTAGTCTTCTGTATTCTGGTAATAATTTGGGTTTTTTTGCTTCTGCTTCTCAGATCATTTTCTGGATTTTATGTGGTTTATAGCATTTAGACTGAAACAGTCTAGTGCTATATGGAAGCATCAGTTCTGCTTCTGTTGTTGCTTTTTCCATGTAACTGCATCTTCCCTTCTTTGATCCAAGTCATACATCTAAATCCCCCTTTCCTTGTTTGCATTATTGCATCCCTAGTCCAAGTTATGTTTCTTTGAAGGAAAGTATGTATTTTCCTAATTTCAACCTCTTTACTGTCTTGCTGAGACCCATTCTTCTTTGGTTAAGGTGTATTGAGTCAGTTTTCCAAGGTATATGAAGCCTGAGGCAGGTCAGAACCTCCAGATGTCATAATATGGACAATTCATACTGGAAGCAGAAGTGTTGAGTTTGTTTCAGACCTTGTTGACTGTAATGGTGAAATTTCCAAAGTTGTCTGTATGAAAACTTGTTTTGTTTATGCCTTCTTTAAATCAATGTTTGTAAGATACTTCTTTCTCCCTCTACTCTAAAATAGGTAGACAGAAACAGCACCCTTCTTAATATGCAGTGTCCTGTTGTAGGACAACTTCATCAATTTTCTGGTGTTTTGTGCTTAGTTTCAGTGCAGAATGACACCACACTTTATTCCAAACAGCATCCTGAAATTTGTGAATTGGAGTTGGATGTAGCTTGCACTAAATTATTGAAGGATGATGTCCATGGCCCTAGATGGGACATGGTTAGTTTTACATCATTTCTGTAAAGTTCTGTGTTCATTTCCCCCTCTTGTCTACTGGGCTCTCAGCAGGTCCTTGTGCTAATGGAAAAATATTGAGAGAAATGCATAATGGTCCTGATACTTTCTGCTGGCTTGTATTACTGTAGTTGTCTAGTCTGTTGTAGTTACACAATTGTGATCTTGTGAAGGTGTTTTAGTGATAGACTCTTCACCCTATACAAACATGGGAACTCCACTGTTTATTCTCCACAAACTGTTATCTCAGTGGATTAATTGGTCACAGTCAGTCGTGTTAAGGCTATTGCAGTCAAGTATCAGAGTCCTTAAAATGATCTTTTATTCTAAAGGTGAATGAGCTGAATCTGGGAGCACTACTTTAGTACTGTTTTTGTCACAGATTTTAAGGATGGCCTTTTGAGCTTATTTCCAAAATACTTTGGATTTTTATAAACCAGTTGAAGGGAGAAGAGCATGGTCTCTGCAGTTCTTGGTCTTGTTCATGTGATGACCTAGTCATTCACTTTGATTTTCCAGATCAAAGTCATTTACTTTGATCTGGAACATTACCATGGAGACTGGTCCTGTCCTCACTCTACTCCCTTCTCTCCCTCCCTCTACCAAGTTTTTGTTTCTACCGAGCTTTTCACAGACGGTAATTTATGTTCTGGTAATCATAACACTAATAATCTAGTTTTGCACATATAATTCGAAACAGCTTTTTATAAGATAATACTGGAATTCAAAATGATCACATGGGTTTGATGTGAAGGCTTTCAAGATGAGTCTTGAAATTTAAACTTGATCCAGAGAGCAGTTTTGATGAATCCATTCCTTTAGGATCTTTCTTGATCCCAGTGTTGGTATTGAAAGATAATTGAAGCTGAGCAAGAAAAAGACCGTGATATGAGATTATGTGTCAATTTGCCAGATAGCCATTTCAAGAAGACATCTTTGATGAGAAGGATTAATCCAGAAAAGTGTTTGGGAGCTTTAATTGTTAAATTAAAACAAAAGCTCCCCTACCACTTTTCCTCAGTACAGTCATTCTCCGTATCATTAATAAATATACAAAAATAGTTGTCAAGCAGTGAAGCTGATTGCATTACCATTCAGAAATATGCCTTTACAGTTTAAAATGCTGCATCTGCATACCCTACATAGTGTCCTACTTAACAACAGCAAAGCATTTTCTTCTCTGAAGTTCAGATACAAGAAGAATTACACAAGGACTGAGTTTTACTAATCAGTGCATAAATCTAATAATTGAGTTGCCTAAATATCTTAAGGGAAAGAGTAGAATTCTAGAATATCCAGAGTGGGAAGGGACTCATTCCCAAAGTTCATTGAGTCCAGCTCCTGGCTCTGCACTGGAAATCACGCCATATGGCTGAGAGCGCTGTCCAAATACTTCTTAAACTCTGTCAGGCTCAGTGCTGTGACTGCTTCTCTGGTGAAACTACCAGTGCTCAGCCACCATTTGGGTGAAGAACCTTTTCCTGATATCCAGCCTAAGCCTACCCTGACACAACTTCAGGCCATTCCCTCAGGTGCTGTCACTGTCACCACAGAAGAAATCAGTGCCTGCCCCTGCTCTTCCCTCAAAAGGAGGATGTAACTGCAATGAGGTCTCCCCTCAGTGTCCTCCGGGCTGAACTGACTGTGTGACCTCAGCTGCTCCTCACAAGGCTTCCCCTCGAGGCCCTTCACCATCCTTGTGGCCCTCCTTTGGGCACTCTATAGCTTTACATTAGGCTATTGTGGCACCCAGAGCTGTCCCCCGCACTCGAGGTGAGGCTGCCCCAGCTCAGAGCAGAGCAGGACAATCCCCTCCCTTGCCTGGCTGATGCTGTGCCTGATGTCCCCAGGACACGGGTGGCCCTCCTGGCTGCCAGGGCACTGCTGGCTCATGTTCAGCTTGCTTCAAACCAGGACCCCCAGATCCCTCTCTGTGGCACTGCTTTCCAGCATCTCATTCCCCAGCCTGTCTGCACATCCAGGGCCGCTCCATCCCCAGTGCAGAATCCAGCACTCATTAGAACATCATACAGTTGGTGATTGTCCAGACCTCCAGGTCTCTGCAGGGCCTCTCTGCCTTTGAAGAAGTCAGCAGCTCCTCCCAATTTAGCATTATCAGCAGACTTACTTAGTATAGGTATTGTGAGATAATTAATTTTGTAACGTTAGTAAAAATTTCATGGCTTTCCCCAATATGCTTGTTAATTATTCCTTTCCATGCTTCTTTGGGGATTTGGTAGTGCAGGTTTAAGGAAAGTCTTCTCCTAACAGATTATTTCTTTATTTAAAGTCTTGAAATAAACTGAATTAAATTGTGGATTTGTAAGGTGATTAAATGCTTCAGGAACACTTTCCTGGAATTCCTTACTATGAACATCCAGAATCAAGAGTACGAAGTCTCCATTGTTATTTCTTTCCTTGTCTCTAAAGCCCATACAAGTAAAGAATTGCTATGTCATTGTCTGAAGTTCAAGTAGTTTAAGTAGTATAAGAGCTGTTTTAGATTTGTTTTAGTATAAGATCTGTTTCAGCCTTTAAATAAATCTGTAGGTGTAAGGTGGAGGTATTTAACCAGCTGTTTCAGGCCTTTCCTTAATGCTTCTTTACAAGCTGAATGTAGTCTCCTGCAATGGGTATTTCTTTTTATGCTTTTTTAAAAAGTCAGCTCTCATAGTGATGTTTGATTGTTTTTTTATATCAAACCTAGCCTCCTATGGGGTGTTTTCCTACAGAAAGCAAAAGTGTTGCCAGTGTTTCTGAAGGGGTTCTGTTCACACGGCTGTATTTGATTCAGTGCAGTTCAGAAGTGCCTCCTATTTGGAAGGCCGTATGCTGGTGTCTGATTTAGGCTCCTAGGAAGCAATTTCACCACTTCTTTCTAGATTTTCAGAAAGCATACTTACTGTGGGTCATTAGGATGATAAAGCTTTTCAGCATGTATGTTATCTTGCGTTGCTGGGACAGATGTAATTGGATAGCCAACCATTTTTATAAAGCCAAACCTGTTTAAATAAAGGAATGCCCATTACCACTGCTCATGTACAAATTAAAACATCTTTCCTTTAATGTCACAAGAGAGTGGAATCTAGAAGACAAAAATCCAAATACTTCCATGCTACAAGTAATAATATCTACAGTATGTTTTACGAGCTCCAGAACTGAGCATCTTTACTGTCCATAGGAAAGGCACATCTTGACTCCACAGTTTCATTCTAATACCAGTAATAGGCTAAGCATTACTGCTGCTTTTGCAAAGCGTTTTAAACCCCTTTCTTCTCCTTCTCTAATAACATAATATGCACTCTTCAGAGCCCCCATGAAGCTCAGGTCTTCTGCTTTCAACAGGCATTGAGGAGCAACTGTGCCATGACAGAACTACATAATCATCAAAGAATGATAGAGTGGTTTGGGTTTAAAGAGACAGTAAAGTTTAGTTCCAACTCCCCTGCCATGGGCAGAGATGCCATCCACTGTATTGGATTACTCAGGGCCCTATCTGACTCTTGAATAATTTCAGGGATGAAGCATCCACTACTTCTCTGGGCAACCTCTTCTTGTGCCTCACCATCCTCTGAGTAAAGAATTCCTTCCTAACATCTAACCTAAATTTCTCCTCTTTTAGTTTAAAAAATCTTCTCCCTTGTCTTACCACTATCTGTCAGTGAAAAAAGTCACTCTCGCTCTTTTAAGTACTGAGATGCAGCAATTGAGATCTCCCCAAGTTGTTCTCTTCTGCAGACTTTACCACCCTAGGTCTCAGGCTGTCTTCACAGGAGAAGTGTTGCAGCTGTCTGATTCTCTTTGTGGCCCTCCTCTGGACTTGCTCCAACAGGTTATTGTCCTTCCTGTGGTAAAGAAAACAGCTGGATGCAGCGCTGCAGGTGGGGTCTCACAAGCACAGAGTAGAGGGAGAGAATCCCCTCCTTTAACCCTGCTGGCCATGCTGCTTTAGATGAAGCCCAGGATGCAGTTGGCTTTATGGGCTGTCAGCACACATTGTTGCCTCATATCCAGCTTTTCAGACTCTAGTTCTTCTACACAGGATTGCTCTCACTGGCTTCTTCTTCCAGTCTGTACTCATATCTGGGACTGCCCTGATCCGCGGCAGCACCTCCACTTGGACTTGTTGAACCTCATGAGATTCTCATGGACTCATTCTCAATCTGGTCCAGGCCACTCTGGATGGCATCCCTTGGTTCAGTTGTGTCAACTGCCTTGCTTAGCTTTGTGTCTTGTGCCAATATGCTAAGGGAGCACTCGATCCCAGGTAACAATGACTGCAGTTTGCACTCAGGCTGTGTAGGGATTTTATAACTGCTTTGCCCTACAGCAGTTGTCTGCTTCATCTAAAATGTCACACACTGGCAGTTCAAGCAAGTGTAGATTCAATGGGACAAATTTTGTTTGATGTCTACGAGGAAAAGCATTCACATAACTTCAAGTGATAAATGTTTTTCTCTGAATCAATAGATATAATACTGATAAGAAAAAATTCTGAGTGGCAAACTCTAAGTCTCAGGAGCTTTGAACGTTGCAAAATGCTAAGAGCTCCCAGTTTTTCTCATATTCATTCCCCTATAAAGAAAGAAGACTGATGAAGTCATAGGTAGAAACTGAAAACTAAAGTTCCTGTTAAGAACTCTTGTGTAGGAAAATTTAAAAAAAAAAAAAAATCTAAGGTCCTAAAATAATAACAATAATAAAATTTTAAATGTATGAAAGTGGATTGAATTAAAAAGCAGGTCTGTGTTCTTTATTTTCTTATTTTAGCTAGATACTCTGATGTTTACCAGAGTGCAAACTGATATTGCTGATTAAAAGTCTGACGATATTGTTCAGAAAAGTCAGCCAGAATGAAGGGAAAAAAAAAAGAAGCAGCACACTGAGTATAGACTTAGGAAATAAAAAGGAGGAGGTTTCCTTTCATTAAGTGGTCATTTTAGGGAAAAATGGTTTACTGGCTGGTAAGGGTATCAGAGTAAGAAAGCAGTCTGGCCTTAAAACCAACATTTACACTTGAATGCTACCACGCAACTTTCTGTTAAGCTATACCTGTAGGATAGAGACAGAAGTCTCTAAGCAAAATTTCCACTGTGCAGCACCCAGTACAACACCAATGTTGTGTCCTGTATTTTGTGCTTCCCAATACTTACCAGTTTGAATAGAATTCTGAATTACTCCTTTGGTAATACAGTCTTAGTTTGCTCATTCCAGTAAGCCTTGTGTACCAACAACTATTCAAATGATAGATTATCACATATTTTAATATAGAAGATTCACCTTTATGATATTCAGAGAGTGACAAAACCTCTACTCATCTGACAAGGCAGTTTCTTCAGATAGATTAATGACTCTACATCCGTATTCATTCACTGCCAGATGCTGTCTAAGCAAGTTCCATTGGGAACGTCATAATTTCCTTTTCCTATCCTTGACTAAGCGCAAAAGTCCATGTCATCCTCCTCCCCGCCCTCAAAAAGTAAATGCCAGAGACATGACATTAATTTTAAAATGTTTTCAAACTACAGCACTGTCCTGCATTTGTTGTATAGTTTGGGACCTTGCAGTGAATCTTGTTCTCATCATACTAAATCCCTGTTGCTTATTAATGATTATTCTGCTCTTGATAGAATTCTAGGACTAGTTTAGCTGCTGAATCAGGAGACAACACATTAGACTACATGAGAGGAAAAGTGCTGGGACAACCAGGTTTTAGACATTTGATAGAGAAGCTGAAGTAGAAATGAGACCAGTAGTTCTTTAACCTTTACTTGGTTTCGCAAGTATGTAGAGATACACGGAATTTGGCATTCTGATTGGTATATGGTAAATATTAGTTAGAATACAAAACCTTCTGAAACTAATTGTGGTGGGTTGATCTGGCTGGATGCCAGATTCCTGTCAAAGCTGCTCTGTAATTCCATTCTTCATCAGGACATGGGAGAGAGAATATAACAGAAGTCCCTGGATTGAGATAAGGACAGGGAAATATCATTCACTGGTTACTGTCACAGACTTGGGGAAATAGTTTATGACCAATCAAATCAGATTAGGGTTATGGCAAATAAAGCAAATTCTTAAAAACACCTCTCTTCCACCAGGGCCTAACTTAACTCCCGCTTTTCTCTACTTCCTCTCCCCCAGTGATGTGGGGGCACAGGGAATGAAGTCTGTTGTTAGTTTGCCACGTGTTCTCTCTGCTACTCTTTCCTCCTCAGGAGGAGCACTCCTCATACTGCCCCCTGTTCCAGTGAGAGGTTCCCTCCCACAGAAGACATTCCACTACAAGTGTTTACAACATGAGTCCTTTCCACAGGGTGCAGTTCTTCACAAACTGCTCCAGTGCAGTCCGTTCCATGGGGTGCAGTCCTTCAGGAACAAACTGCTCCAGTGCAGGTTTCCCATAGGGTCACAGCCTCCTTTGGGCATACATCAGCTCTAGTGTGGGATTCTGCATGGGCTGCAGGTGTATATCTCCACCACCATGAACCTCCATGGGCGGCAGAGGGACAGCCTTCCTCATCATGATCTTTACCACAGGCTGCAGTGGGGAATCTCTGCTCCAGCTGCTGGCATATCTCCTGTCTCTCCTTCAGTTACCTTAATGTCTGCAGGGCTGTTTCTCTTACACATTCTCACTACTCTGGCTGCAATTTTCCTTGCATAGTAATTTTTTTCCTTTCTTAAATCAGAGTCACAGAATATGCCAAATTGGAATAAACCCATCAGGATCATTGAGTCTAGTTAGTCCTGAACGGAACACCCCAAGAATGTCACCAGGTGCCTGAAGCTGTTACACAGATGCTTCTTGAACTCCCTCAGGCTTGGTGCTGTTAGCACTTCCCTGGGGAGTCTCTTCCAGCACACAGCCACCCTATGGCTGAAAATCCTTTTCTTGATATCCAGCCTAAACCTTGCCTGGCTCAGCTTCATGCCTATTCCCCAAGTCCTGTCTTGAGAGTGAAGAGGTGGGCACCTCCTTTTCTACTGTTTTCCCACCATTGCTAATGTGCTCAGTCTTGGCCAGCAGCAGGTCTATCTTGGAGCCATTTGGTGCTGGTTCTGTTGAACTTGGGAGACACTTCTTGAAGCTTCTCAGAGAAGTCACCTCTGCAGGTCATACTCCACTACCAAAACCTTGCCACATTGACTCAAATGTACCAACAAGTTTATTTTTGGTCAGCAGTTCAATACTTCCTCCCATATTGTCCACAGTTCAATTTTATTTACACCATCATCTTAAGAAGTGTAACTTACTATTCAATAAATATGCAAAATTCAGTATCAGCAGAACATTCCCAGCTCTGTTTTGGTCTCTTACAGACATTCCCAAGCTTAGGCAATTGGGTTAAATTATTTTCCATGACTCACATAAGTCAATGGAGAGCACTGATTAACTTCAGTCTACATTTCAAGGTCATTTATGTGTTGACATAAACTGAATGTTTTGAAATACCGTCGCTCCACTCCTGACACGATGGTAACCATATCCATTTGAGTCAAAAGTATTACATGTAAGGCATAGTCTAGGGTCAAAAAAAAAACCAACCAAAAAATAAAACCAGGATTTTTTTTTCTGCTAGGAAGCTTGTGAAGCTGTTTTTATGCTATATTCATATGTAGTAGGACAGAAGAAATTGCTCATTTTCTGCTTCCCATATTACACAGTTCTGGCAGGATTCTTATTTTTCTAGTTTTATCTCTTTTAACAGTCAGTCTTATTAACACATCAAAAATCTTCATGTGAAACAGTAACACTAATCATTGTCAATACATGTTTTGTATTTGTAATAGTAAATCCCTATCAATAGTTAAAATACAGAATGACAGCTTATTTCTGAAAAAGACTACAGCTTTAAGATGGAGATTGACAGCCATTTTTGCCTTAGAAAAAGTCTCATCCTCACATCTAATGTTGCCAATATAAGTTATGTTTGACCTGCTCATCAAAATTAAGAGCAAAAAGGAAATGCACAGACAGTGGATGGAGAGGCACAGCATAGGAAAGACATGGAACAGGTCTAGAAGAGGGCCCCAAAGACCATTGGAGGGTTGGAACACCTCTACAGTATGGAAAGGCTGAGAGAGCTGGTGTGATCCAGCATGGAAAAAATAAGGCTTTCAGGGTAATTTATTGCATCCTTTCAATACCTGAAAGAGGACATATAGGAATGATTGGGACAAACTTCTTAGCCAGGCTTATTGTGATAGGACAAGGTGTAATGATTTTAAAAAAGGTTGGCTACGTTAGATGTATGGAAGAAGTTTTTTGCAATGCGGGTGGTAGAACACTGGAACAGGTTGCCTGGAAAGTAGTGAGTGCCTCATCCCCTTAAACATTACAAGATTGGATGGGGCTCTGAGCAACCTGATTTAGTTGAAGATATTCTTGTCCATGGTAAGGACATTGGATGAGGTAATTTTTTTAAAGTGCTTTCCAACTCAAATCATTCTGTGATTCTAAAAGGCATGGTGAAACATATGCTTACCTGGGTTTGTAGGTGGACTCCAAAAACCTTGTTGCTTTCACATATGCAACCTTTCTTGTACAAACCCTCAGCCGAGGAAATGTGGCTGTTTGAAGACACACTTTGGTTCTTAAAAGCACTGCAGTAACCCTGAAATAAGTCATGTAATGTGGGTAAGCATCCATTTGCTCTGTCTGTTATTAAAATTTGGAACTAGCATGAGAATCTTAGGATTGAAAATTTACTAGAAACAAATAATTGTTATATGGTTTTATTTCAAAGTGAGGCAGTGAACTAAACTGATTAAATGATTTAGCACCAAAAATTATACCAAACGCCAGAGGTCTGCTTCACATTCCTTCTTTTTCTTGTACTGTAGGTTCTTGTCAACTGTACTTCCAAGTTGACTGAGACAAAAGGAGAAAAGACTGTGAGCTTTTTTGATGACAGAAGCATATGGCTGAC